CAGTTGCCATCTAGGCCACTAATTTGGAGAAATCCCCATCCTTGGGACTTAGGTCTGATCTGGAGGGTTTGCAGGGCACACCAGTGCCTCACAATAGCACCTCAGAGATCTGCAGCAGCAATGTGTCCCTTAAATCTTTTCTGCCCTGGGGGAAACAGCCCCAGGTCCTTCAGCCTACAGTTGGGAATCTTTCTTTGCTCTGTGGTGCACAGGACCCAAAATGGACATTGCCAATGATGTCATCTTCAGTTGACTTTCTCCCTTTTTTATACTCTGAGCCTCTGGGGAGCTATAAGCATTGCTCTAGAAAAGACTGTACAAACCAGACTAATTGGCAGTCCTTCGAAAACTGCTGTCTGGTCAGTTTCCCTTAAGATAATAGAAAAAAGGAGAGGACAAGGTAGGACTATTTTGTGTGTGAACATTCCACCATGTTAATAAATCTCCTGCTAAAATGTTACTTGCTGTGTCATAGACAGGATTTTTTTTTTTTCTCTTCAGTTTTTCATATAAACTAGAATAGCACTGATTCTTTTTCTGGTGTTTGTTTGCTAAATTGGACCAAAATAGGTCGAGTTTATAACATAATCCCCACGAAGATTACTAGAACTTACACATTCTGTAATAAATTAGTTGGAGAAAAAACACTTAAATTTCAGGACAATTACTGCATCTGAGAGTTTTAGGATGAAAGGCTACATCCGGGGCTAGGTTGAAATGCTGTTAATGGCCACTCTGATGCAATATTAGCAGTTTCTTCTTATGACCCAGTTCATTTTTTAAATGATAGAAAAAGATGAAGTGAAATGTTAAAAAAACGACTCAGTCACAGAGGTAAATTGTACAGGGAGGGGTGAAAAGCTGCGTTCCAGCTCAGCTGTATGTAGTTTGCCATGTAGTCATAGGTAAATCACTTACCTCTCTGCCTCATTTTCCTTATCTACCAAATAAAAATGAATCACCTGAAATTCCTTTGAACTTGGGCCATGAACAGTGGCGCTGGACCTTATTATCCCCAGGGATATGCATAGGCTCATGTTCTCCTCTCGGGCTGTATCCTGTGTGTGCACGTGTGTTGCTGTCGTTGCTTCTGCTTGTTTGTTTTAATCTTTTTGGAGAGGGAGATGAAATGTGAGTGGGGGGAGGGGCAGAGAGAGAGGGAGACACAGAATCTGAAGAAAGCTCCAGCACTGAGCTGTCAGCACAGAGCCCCACGTGGGGCTCAGGCTCACAAACCGTGAGATCATAACCTGAGCTGAAGTCAGCCACTTAACTGACCGAGCCACCCAGGCACCCCGTGTTGTTGCTTTTGTTTTAAGGCAGCAGGTATATACATAGGATGCAGGTTATGCATCGTTCCCAGCTCTAATCCCACCGCCCACCTTTTCCCCAGCGATCACTACTTTTACATCAAGAGCCACAGCTCTGGAGAACTGCACAGTTGTGGGCGGTGTGCCGCCCGGAAGATTTTTTTTTTTTTGTTAATGAGTCAAATTTTTTAAACATTAATTTATTTCTATTCACAGACTGAGGGTCTAATGATATATTCTGATAATTGCATTCTTTCTTCCAAATCTGCTTTACTTGGTTCTACCAAAATGAAACAAAACAAAACAAAACAACACCCTCCTGCAAACCTCCCCTTCCAAAGAAGTCTTCAGAAGGCCGAGCGCCCCTGCTTTCTGGACATCCTGATCACTCTAAAAGGCCGGATCCCCTGGGTGCCCTGTGGCTGTCTCTGTTGGAGGCCCAGAAAGGTGTGCAGTAACAAGGGTTGCCCAGGGGCTGATTGTAAGTGGCTTCTTGGAATTGAAAAGGAAAGCTGTTTGCTTTCCCCAAAGAAAGAGAAATGACCGCTCAAACAACAAAGTCTAACTTATCACCTCAAAGCCCTTCTTAATGGCAGTGAGATCCATGTGGCTGCCAAGCCAGACAACCGCACGTGTGTGTCTGTCGAAATGACCACTATTCTCCTAGAGCAGTTCTCTTCATCAGGGCTCATAAACAGAGAGGCCGTCCCCCTGCCTGCCAGGAGCAAGGCTGTTAGATCAATTAGCGGCACTTCAGCCACCCAGATGCTTCCACCTTCTGAAAAGCAGCCTTCTCCCGCACAGCTCACCCTGAACTGGCACCTGCTAGCATCCGTACGAATCTCAGGCGCTGATGATGACAGGCCGTCCAGCCAGCCTGTCGATTGCAGGGCCGCACACTCGGGCGTCAGCAGTTGGCAAAGCGTGGAACAAAACCAGAGTCACATGAAAACATCAGAGCGACACAGGAGTTAGCACAACCCATCTGGCCACTTCTGCTCAGATGGGAGCCGGTGGGAACCCATTAGATAAGCAAGCGTGGACCCCAGATCGGGAGCTTTCACCACAGGACAAAAAACCTTCAGAAGGGGAAGTTAAGTGGACAAGGCTTTATATCAGAGTGTAACCCAGATAGCGGGTTACATCTGGGTCTTCTCTGTCCCTTGAGACCTAAACAAGCATTGCTTCAAATCCCACAGCCTGTGGAAATCTGAATTCTGTGACTTTGCAGAGGCTTAGTGCCTCTGCCTCACTCTTGCTTCTTGCTTCCATGTCTGGTATCTTAGCTCTGCAGCTTGTCAGGGTGCTTATAAAAAAGTGGTATGAGCCTAGTAGACCTTACAAAAAGTTGCATCACTGAGGAGAATCGCACTTCATAGCCCATCTTGGTGTAGTTCACAGACCATATGACGCTTTTCTATTCTCTTAAGCCTTGTTACACAAGGTGTGGTTCAAGGGACCCGCAGCACCTGTATAACCTGAGGGCTTGTTGGAAATGCAGAGCCTTTTTTTGTTCTTTTAAAGTTTATTTATTTATTTTGAGAGAGAGACAGAACATGTGAGCAGGGGAGGGGCAGAGAGAGAGGGAGAGAGAGAGAGAGAGAGAGAGAATCCCAAACAGGCTCTGCACTGTCAATGCAGAGCCTGAAGCGGGGCTTGAACTCACAAACCAGGATATATGACCTGAGTTGAAACCAAGAATCAGAAGTTCAACCAACTGAGCCACCCAGATGCCCCTAGAAATGCAGAACCTTGAGCCCCACTCCAGGCTTGCTAAATCAGAACCTAGATTTTAATGAGATGTCAGGAGACTCTGTGGGTTAAAGTGTGATGAGCACAGATGTAAAGTCCTTCTCCATCATTTCACCATGGAGGATTCTCTTTGGCCTGGCCCTTGCTCTACACAATGCTAAGACTTCCATCTTCTCTTTCTTCCCCCTCCTTTCTCTCTCTCTCTGGTTCTTTCATCTCCTCCCTCCTGTCAGGAGCTTCAAACATTTTTTTTTTTTTTTTTTTTTTTTTTTTTTTTTGGCACCACAGAATAGCCCTACCCTGGAGCCTCAGGGCCACTCACCACCTAGGTCCCAAACGTCTCACCTGCTGCCAGCCCTCAGGTCCGTTCTGAAGCTGATTACAATATTTGTCTAAACAAGGTCCTCCCTCCCCCAAGAGGGACTCTGATACCAACTATAACAATAAAAGACATCTCTCTGGTTACAAAAGATATCCCAGGTTTTGTAAAGACATCTGGCTTCTAAACAGACCCCTAAATCAATTCCAGGTTATAAACTATCACACAAGTGTCAGACCTGGGGAAACTAAGTCTCAGGAACAGGAAAGTGACCGGCTCAATGTAGTTATTGGCAGGGGCAGGACTAGAAAATTTCTCCTACTTCCCAGCGTGGGCTTCTCTCCACTACACCGAATCATTCATTCTACTTGAACCTGAACCTTATGTGACCACCTAATTCTCTTCCTGAGCAATAACTGAGTCATCTGGGCAGCAAATCTGCATTGAGTGCCTGCTGGGTATAGCAAGCATCGTTCAAAGATGAGAAGAGGCAAAACAGACCCAGTTTTCCACACTACTTGCCTTCGCCCAAACTGCTCCCTCCCACCGAACTCCTCATTCCCATCCAATCTGCCCCAGCAGACTTCACATCTTTGAGAAGCCCCAGCTGGGAGCTTCCGGACTCCTCCAGACAAAACTAATCACTACTTGCTCTGTGCAAGCACACTAGCAGAGCACTTCCTCCATTATTTGTTAGGTCTTTGTTTCCTCAGTGTCCCTTCTGAATGGAAGTTTCCTCTAGGGAGGCTCGAACCCCATGGTCCTCAGTACCCAGTACAGAAGATGCTCAATAAATGTTAGTTTTCTTCCCCCTTTCTTTCCCCTGGAAATCCCTACCAGTTGATGCTATTGGTCACACAAACCTTGTCCTTAACTCAGCTCCTTCATCCTCAGGCAACTTGCCCCTTTCTGGAACTGGGCTGTCACAGACCCATCCTCTTCCCATTGCCTCTCGTTTCTCCTCCTGGCCTCTCCTGGCCAGCCCTCTTCTAGTCCGTTGCTATCCACAGGTGCCAGCCTCGCCACCACGACTTGTGTATGACTTTTTGAAAATCCTTCTGCCTTCTGGACCTCATCTGCAAAATGAGTGGCTTTGCCTCCTTAGCTGGAGCTGTGGATAGCCATGTGGCAACTCACAGGTGTATTATAATCAGTTATGAGGTGCTTTGTAAGTAATCGTTTCATATAATCCTAAGGTTTGCCGATGGTCTTTTTTAAGAAATAGAGAAGATTAAAGGTCATCCCTGTGACTGGCACTCTCAGCAGCATTCTGATGTGCTTTCTGGAATAGGAGAAAAAGGCGTGGAGTCACAGGCAGGGATCCCACACAAGCTTGGGCGCACACACCTTAGGATTGTCATATCTCACAAACATAGTTTTCTATCATGTGTGCCCCAGCTGGGCAAAGGCTGATCTATAAGATTCTTCTCTGCTTCATCTTCTGTTGAGCTCTAAGGTCTGCAGAAAAGACTGAAAATTGTGACATTGTGGTAATCATGAATTTCCAAATCCCTCCTGTGATGTGGTAGCTCCTCATAAAATTTAAATCTCACTCAGGAATATTTGAATGGGTCACGCTCTTCTAATTTTTTCCTCTTTCCCCTTGGCTTTGCTTCCAGGAAGCGAGAGGAAGAAAACAAACGAAGAGAGGCAGAACAGCAGAAGGGAAGGCTGAGCCCAGATTCCTGCAGATCCCAAGCCCCTCCCTGTGTGCCCAGCACCCAGGCTGAGCCCCACAGGCAGAGCTGGACCCCCAGCAAACAGCATCCCACCAGCAGCGCAGCCCAGGACCCTGAGGGGAGAGCCTGTCGAGGATCTCCAGGCAGAGCCCCCCAGAGGGAGGCTGGGAACAGCCCCCCAGATGTGCAGGGAACAGACCCCAGAAAGCCAAATGGTAGGTACCCTTGTTATCTGATGCCAACCCGTGGACTGTGGGCTCTCTTGATTGATGTATTTATTCCAATTCATTTAAGGTAATTATGGCAGCACCTAAGACTGCAATTTTATTATATATTTTCCATTTATTTCCTCTGATTCTCATTCCTGTGTTTCTTTTTTCCCCTTCCTGTGGACTACTTGAGCATCTATTAGGATTCCATCTTGATTAATTTATAGTGTTTTTGAGTGTATTTCTTTCTACAGTTTTTGTGGTGGTTGCTCTGAGTATTACCATATACTTACATGTGTCATATATATACATATGTGTGTGTGTGTGTGTGTGTGTGTGTGTGTGTGTGTGTATATATATATATGGCTTATAACTATATATATATATGGCTTATAACTAATAACACTTCACTTTTTAAAGTTTATTTTTTTATTTAATTTGAGCGAGAGAGAGCGAGCGAGCACATGTGTGTGCAAGTGGGAGAGGGGGAGAGAGAGGGGGGAGAGATAGAGAGAATCCCAAGCAGGGTCTGCACTCAGTGTGGAGCCCAACACAGGGCTCAAACCCACAAACCACAAGATCATGACCTGAGCCAAAGTCGCATGCTCACCCACCTGAGCCACCCAGGTGCCCCAACATTTTACCACTTTGAGTGAAATGTGGAAACCTCACATCCATTTAGGTACCTTTACCTTCCCCACTTTTAAATATCATTGATTATCAGATGGCATTGTAATTTTTGTCTCAGTCATCAAATATAATTTATAAAAGCCATGAGGAAAAGGACACTCTCTTCTTTGTACCCAGAGTTCTGTTTTCCTCTTGTTTCATCTTCCTTCCTCGTGCTCCAGATTCCTTCTTTTATCATTTCTTTTCTGTCTGAAGAAACTTCTTTAGTCAGTATTTAAGGATAGCTCTGTTACCAACAAATTCTTTGAGTTTTCCTTTGAGGAGGTTTTTGTCTCATTCCTAAACAAGTTGGTGAGCCAGATCCAGAATGTACACTTGAGGGGCGCCTGGGTGGCGCAGTCGGTTAAGCGTCCGACTTCAGCCAGGTCACGATCTCGCGGTCTGTGAGTTCGAGCCCCGCTGACAGCTCAGAGCCTGGAGCCTGTTTCCGCTTCTGTGTCTCCCTCTCTCTCTGCCCCTCGCCCGTTCATGCTCTGTCTCTCTCTGTCCCAAAAATAAATAAAAACGTTGGAAAAAAAAAAAAAGAATGTACACTTGAAAGAGGCCGTGCCCCTTCTTCTGGCCCCCATGGTGTCAGATGAGAAATCGAGTCGTTCGAATGGCTGTTCCTCGGTAATGTTTCCAGGTAACATGTCCCTGCTCTCTGGCTGCTTTCAAGATTTTTCTTTATCTTTAGTTTTGAGTAGTTTAATATGATGTGTCTTGAGATGGATTTTGGGGAATTCATCCTGTTTAGATTTCACTTAGTGTGTTGGGCGTCCCCAAGACCCCGCCCCGCCCCCACCAGGTTTAGTAATTTGCTAAGAGCACTCACAAGACTCAGCATGTGTTTGTACTCACAGGTGGGATCTATCATAACAAAGGGCTACAAATCAAGATCAACAAAGGGAAAAGGCACATGGAGCAAAGTCTGGAAGAAACCGGGTGCAGACTTCCAAGAGTCTTCTCCCAGTGGAATCACACATAAGACATGCTCAGTTCTTCTTCCAGCAATGAATTGTGGCAACCAGTTAGCCTTTTATCTACCAGGAAAGCAAACCTAAACTTAGGACTCCAGGAATTTTATGGGGTCAGGGATATAGGTACCATACATCTCTAGCATATACTACGACTCCAACTTCCCAGAAGGAAGACAGGTATTCAGTGTATATTATAATATTTGCACGAAGCAATTTAAGTATATTGAGCCATTCTTATAAATTAGGGAACAGTGAGAACCCTCCAGGAATCTAAGTGCAAATGCCAACATAGTGAAAAAGGCAATTAATGTCTTAGTATTATTATAAACATAGTTCTGACTTTGTGGACCCCAGAAACAAGTCTATTAGATCTCATGGTGACCCGATTCAGGGCTTGGACAATTCATTCTATCTCTCTGAACCTTAATTTCCTTAGCTATAAAATGGGGAGGCATACTCAAAAACCAGCAAACGAATAAACAAAAAAAGCAGAAATAAACTCATAAATACAGAGAACAAACTGATAGTTGCCAGAGAGGAGGGGAGTGGGACAATGGGCAAAACGGGTGAAGGGGAGTGGAAGGTACAGGTTTCCAGTTATGGAATGAGTAAGTCATGGGAAGGAAAAGTACAACATAAGGAATATACTTAATGGTATTGTCATAGTGCTGTATGGTGACAGATGGCAGCTATTTGTGGTGCATAGCATGACAGAATTACTGTGTTGTACACCTGAAACTAAGGTAACGTTGTGTATCAGCTATACTTCAGTTTTGAAAAAGAAAGAAAATGAGGCATACTCTACCCTGCAAGGCAGTTATAAATGGAAATAAAATAATTAATGTAGAAAACGTATCATAGCCCACGACTCATCGTAGGTCTTCAGTAACTACTATTATTAAACCACACTGATGATCTAGCCAAAAACAACTACATAAAAGCACACATGAATTATCATAAACATACCCAGAATATAATTCCATAACCCACTTTGTAGTGATAATGCATCAGCAAGGTATACTTTAAGGAGGTCTGATGCCTTGTTATATATTCATTCAGGTAGTGTTAACTAGACTCCCATGATGTACCAACCATGCTGAATTTGAGTAAATGCCTTCTTAGCTTGAGGTCACTGCATATTACATTCCCTCTATCCCTATGGATAAAAATGCCTCTTACTTTTCAGAGCTCAGGATGAATGTTCCTCCCTCTATACAGCCATACCTCCCCACTAAACAAGCCTTCATTTTCCTGCTATATGCTCCCATAGGCCTTCTGCACCTCCATGTTAGAAAGATCGCCACCTTTTATTGTGATTATTACTGGCTTATTTGTCTATTTTTTCCTATAGATTACAAGATCTTAAGATCAGGGTTGTTTCATTTATCCGCTGCTATGTGAAAAAACAAACAAACAAAAACTACACTAAAATTAAGTGGCTTAGGACCACAATTTATTATTTGTCATGACTCTGTGGGTTGCAACTGCAGTTCCTCTACAGTTTCACCTGGTGTCACTCATGTGACTACATACAGGCGGAGGGTCACTTGAATTGGGCAGTCTACGATAGACTGACTTGAATGTCTGGCAGTTGATGCTGGCTATCAGCTGGGATTCCTTGACTCTGCTTTACATGGTCTTTCATCCTCCATTAGGCTAGACTGGCCTCCTCACACAGTGGTCACAGGGCATCATTCTAAGAAAGCAAAGGCAGAAGCTACAGGACCTCTTCAGGAATAGGCTCTAAAATTTGCATGCTGCATTCTATTGATCAAAGCAAGTTATATGACCAGCCTGACACTAAATGTGATTTAGAAATATACTCTACTTTTGTGCACACTAAGATGGAAGCAGTTTTCGACTGTTGAACACTCTAGCACAGGTCCTTTATGGCCACAGATTATTCACATTCCTCCCGCAGGCACAATATTCTCACTGTTTTCTCAGGACCCAAAAATGTCATCTCAGTCACCACATGAAGCTTGAAGTTTGGGCTTTTGAGGCATATGTCATGTCCAGATGTTGTCAAGTTTCCCCAGGTGTGAATCATTCCAGTTCAGGGACTAGTCAACCAAACACACATTATCAACCCCCAAACACACCCAACAAGCAATGGTGAGGCAGGGACAAAATAACCATAGTAGACACCCTTGCTGCACAAGGGGAGAAATGAGAGGCACATAACAGTCACTAGCCCATAGCAATTCTGAAAGCCAGCTGGCTATACCTTAGCAGGTCCCCTACTCTGAAGTATGGAATGTTCCTTGATTAGGCTATGGTTTTACCCCTGTGTGTGGTTTCCTAGTCCATTATTCTCCTTGTCACTTGGCTCTTCCACCTGGGCTTTCAGTTCTGCTCTCTGAGACATCTTCCTTTCCATAAGACATAGCCCATGTTTGCAGTTAAATAGCTTTCTCAGCCTATTTCCGATCAATAGGAATTTGAGGTTCCAGAGGCTCCCGTTTGTTTTGAACTGCCTCAGCAGTTCAAGCTGGTGATACTCTTTGTGATGCAATTACCCCAGAAACTTTCTGGGTTTCCTATGAATCTGATTGGGTTCACTCCATGTTCTAAAACTACATCCAGGGGTGCCTGGGTGGCTTAGTCGGTTAAGCATATGACTCTTGGTTTTGACCCAGGTCATAATCTCACAGTTTGTGAGTTTGAGCCCCATGTAGGGCTCCACACACTGACCGTGTGGAGCCTGCTTCAGATTCTCTCTCTCTCTCTGTCTCTCCCTCTCTCTCTGCACCCCTCTCGCTTATGCACTCTCTCAGAATAAATGAATGAATGAACGAACGAACAAATAAATAAATATTACCAAAAAAATTTTTTAATTAAAACAAAAACTACATCCATAATTATTTCCCAGACAGGCCTCTCTCTATTTTGGGTGGCTCAGGCTGCTGTAGTAAAATGCCCTTGAAGTTCTTAAAGTTCTTTTGTTTAGTTTAGAGTGCCTACAACACACCATCTTAGATATTTTTGAGGTCTTAATACAGGGTTGCACAGTAATTCTCTTGATTTGATCTTTATCCATAAGTTGTATTTTACTACGAGACTCTTTCACTGGCTGGAAAGAATGAAAATGGGAAACAGTTTCTAACCCGGCACATTTTAGGCTCTGTATATTTCCTCTAGATTCCACATGCAAACTGAGAAGTTCTTTCCTAATTTTCTTTCTTTCTCCCCACACCTTATCATACGCAGCTAAAAAGGCCAGTTGATATTTTCTTTGGTGATTGAAACTGGAAATCTCCTAAACCATGTTTATAAATTCATTAGGTATGTTTTCTGTCTTCTAAGTTACTACAGGTAACTTATGCCAATTTTGCCCTTTATTCTGCCACTGAGTAA